AGAAGTTCAACATATCTACATAGCGGACAAACCCTGGTTGCGACACATACGCCTCTGCTTCTTCGCGAGTGTTAGCAATCTTTATGGAAACACGCTTGCGAATGTTCTCCATGGTCTTTCCGAAAACACTATTATTCATCAGCTTGAATAAATTCTTCTCGAAATCGTTCTTTGCTGCTGTGCGCTTTTCCGTGTTAAAATCTATGTAAGGTTGCATCCACGGCTCTTGACGAAACTTCAAAGCGCGGTGTACCTTTGTCACACGCATTCCGTGGCGCACATAGAATTGCAGRTTGCGATAGTGAACAACGTAATTTTTCTTGTTCATCAAGTTCATCGTTAATTTACGGTACGGCTTGTAGTTGGGGCATAGACGCTTTTGTAGTGGTGATAGCTGTTCGAAAGGTATTTCGATTGCTTCCGGGGCAAGCGGGTAATCATCGTGGAGGTGGTGTAGTTCTGGCGGGTACTCCAAATCCACCTCCAGGATGAAGCCTTTGCGACTGTCAGGTCTTATCCGCATGTAGTACTCTGACTCGCGTGGTTCTGTCCACTCAAAGTCGCGCAGGGGTAGGTGCTGGGACATTGCCCACCCATAGAGGTTGTTAGCATCCAGGTAAAAGATGTAGGTGTTTGGCTTTTCAGGGTCGTACCCCTCCGCCTGGGGATTGTTCGCTCTGGCGTAACGCCTGCTGGGTCCGCAGACTCCACCACGGATACCGTCTTCCATAAAGCGGTACATTTCATAATCGGTTAGGAGGTCCAGCCGTGCGTCTGTCTTCTTTAGCAGCGCACTCCAGGAAAGCCCAGGAGCCGTGTAGAAGTTCGCTGGATCCAACCCGTAGTAAGACATAGCCATCTTTCGAAAGCTTTGAAAGACGTCTGCTAGTAGGACGACGTCTGCTAGTAGGACGACGTCTGACAACAGGTAAACGTCGTGGTAATCTCCCATGTTCTTACATTCGTGGCGCTTCCAAACCCCCTTTGCGTGCTCGTACTCAGCGTCAGATATTCCCGCTTCATTTAGGGTGCTGTAGAAGCATTCTTGGGGTGGCAGCTGCTTTTCCTCAAAGCGCTCCCAGCAATTCATGTATTCGTATGGATACACGCCTTTCCTTTCCGCGCCGTATTCATCGGATATCGGCGAATCCTCGTTGTACTTGGCTAAATTGGCTAAGGAATCTGCCATGAACTGCTGGGAGTCCAGGAATTTCAGCTTACCAATGGTTACGGACATATACCGTTCTTTGTTGTTAGGTATGCACTTTACTTCGTGCCCCTCCACGCCTTGCAGCAAGAGATGGGAGTCGTACCCACGAAGATTGTGAAAAAACACGGGAATCTCCATGTTTGGGTCTATCCGTTGTCTACATTTCCAGTGYGATGCACCTTTAAACTCACCAGTGATTTCACAGCAATCCATCACTTTGTCTRTGTAAAAGTCTTCCTCTATGGGGTCGCCGCAGTGAAAGCAGTGCGTGGAAGGCTTGCCGGGCTTATCCCCGTCTCTTGYATAACGTCCACATGTGGGGTGCGCTTCTCCTAAGTAAGCCCCATCCTTATCCCAGGCTTTCTTTGCTCGGCGTCCGTACTTTAGAACGCCTAGCTCGCAAACGTGGCACTTCTGTGCTGCGTGATATGCCCCTAACTGCTCTTTGGTCAACTTAACCTTCTTTTTATGCATTAACCGGCGTCGAATGTATTCTTCCTCTTCTTCTAAAGCTGTGAGGAAATTCCGTGCAGCGTTAGGGCCTCGGTAAAGCACTGGCTCATCCGCTTCACCGTCGCAGCGAACGACTACGTAACCATACGAGCAAATCTCGTGTAGCCCTTTCTTTTGCGTGTTACCAGCTTCCTCATACTCATCGGTAATCAAGGACTCGAAGTCCGCGTAAATCACGTAAGGCACTTTGTTTTGGCGTTTGTGGTCGTCGTATCGTAAATCTTTGCTTACTGGCAGCTGAATTCTTTGCGCTGGCTCCTCGACTCCTCGACAAATTTGGTCGTGTTTCTTCAATGCTTTTAAATCTTTAAATGGTAACAGGCAGGCATCGCAGTAAAACCTTTTGTGTCCGTCTTTACTATGCATGGCAAATAGGCGGCTTGGCGACTTCACCCACGAATAATGCTCACCATGGTAGAAAAGGTTTATGCGCTCTCCTCTGTTACATGAAACATGTAGGGGAACTATGGTCTTTTCTCGGACACCGTAAACATTTATAGCAAGCTCGTTTCGCTCTTCGATAGTTTCTCTATTATAACATGTATTCTGAATGCCACCACGCCAAATATGTCCAGAAAAATCCTGGCTTGAAGTCGAATATTTGATTTCTTCTACAGCGTGTGATCGATGGTGTTCAAACAGCCGTTGTAAAGCGTGAGCGGGTCACGTTACATACTGCATTCCCATTATTTAGGTAGAGAAGAGCGGATTTTGAAAAAACCCACTAAACGGCCTCAAATCGCGCTGAAACTTCGCCAGACGACTGAACAAAGTATATCTGATACAACACGGACACGAATACTGTATATGACTTATCAAATGTCTAGGTTAGTTCCTTTGCGTTTCACTAAAATTTTCAAAATTAAAGTGAATTTGGCCAAGAAAATCCAACTTAAAGTTTATGCAAATGAACACAGTTTTGTATCAGATTTTATGGCGCGCGGAATGGTTCAAAATTGTCATTTCGATGTAATTGAATATTTGTTTGTCAATTGCGTTACTTCGCTTGAATGTGTACACTTATCAGTGCGTTGAGTCTTCCTTTTGGTCGAGGGTCGAGGGTACCATGTCGAGGGTCGAGGGTACCACGTCAGGGTACCATTAGAAATAAACAAAGAAATTCTATTAAAAAATATTGAGAAATAATAATTTAAAATGTTTGAATAATGATCGTTTTGGCTTGCTTTGTAGCGCGTTGTATTGTGTTTGTCAGTCATCACTTCGGCAAAGGTCACGTTCACGTTGTTAATGGTCGTCACGCTCCTCCGCGTGAGACTCAAACTGAATACAAATAAAGTTCAACATTTGCAAGAGTTATCCAAAGTAGCCTATCTACTTTTGCAGTTTATCAACAAAAGTATGAGTTTTCCTTAGCGCCGGAATTAAACCCTGAATCAAAAAATGAAGGACACGATTCCAATAAATAATACTGTAACAGGATACAATGTCATGCGGTCAATTGACTATTTTTATATGCATTGATTGACAAAAAAAACATATGCAACGTGCTTGCGTAATGCAATGCACTGATAAGTGTACACATTCAAGCGAAGTAACGCAATTGACAAACAAATATTCAATTACATCGAAATGACAATTTTGAACCATTCCGCGCGCCATAACATCAAAATGACAATTTTGAACCATTCTTCACGGTCGTGATTTCTGTTGTGTTTGCCTCATGAATTATTAATGAGTTTGATAAATATATATATATATATAGACCGGATCGCTAACACTTTGACATTCATTGAGATATATTTATATATATATATGTCCCCTTGTCCTCTATTGTATTTCCACAATTCTTTTGTACCGCTGAGAGGCCAGGAACATAAAATCATAAAATAAACCATAAAATCCTTAATCCTTAATCCTTACAGCTTTGTCATTTCAGAAACTGGGGTACTTTACCCGTAAAAAAGACACAAAAGGAAACAATAAGGTTAATTAGGCTACTAACTATTTCATGGTTCTTTGTGTTCCTGGCCTCCCAGCGGTACAAAAGAATYGTGGAACTGACAATAGCCAATTTGCCAATTTAATAACCAAAATCTCCAAAAGTTGGCCAAAATACCAGCCCCATTCGACAAAATTTAAATCATCCACCATCTTCTTTTTTTTTTTTTTGAAATTGCCCTGTTCATTGGCATTGGATTACGACAGATTAAACAAAGTGATACATGCATGCCTCTTCCATACAAATACAAGTGATTTAATGAATCTGAAAAAAAATCCGAAAATTAGAAGATCCTGCAGATTATAATACATTTACCATGACTAGTTCACTAGTCTCCTATGCAGCTGCTATTAGTGTTGTCACGCAATGCTCACTACTCTAAGTAGCTACTTAGGGGTACTTATGGGAGTAAGCATTGGGTGACGACACTTATAGTGGCAGCATAGGAAACCACTAGTTCACATGCTATAGGAATTGACTGAATGTTTTCAGCCAATCAGAAGTTTGAAATCATTAGTAATTTGTATACTTACATCCAACTCACCCATAGGAGTTTGTATTTAGGTTCAAAAGCATATCAGAAATTATGGATTATCCTCCCTGATATATTCTTTCAGTTGTCTGTCAATAGGGCTTTCTGAAAAAATATCGAGAAAAATATCCCATCATTTCTGATGTAGTTTGATATACTTGTATGTATATTTCATTCGCCCATAATCCCCCCTGTCTGCCACTGTAAAATCCTTAAAATCCTTGAGAAGCTCTTGCAAGGTAAATAGTGCTGTCTATCTATTATCTATCCATACTTGGATACTCCTTGAAAAATGCACATGAAGGTATGTTATCATAAAAAATGTTTACATCTTTCATCTGTTTTGTATGCACAGATAACCCATTGGTCAAGTCCTCATTTTCGCGCCTATTTCCCAAGCAACACATCTTTCCCTTCAATACTTGGGGATATGCTGTCTTCTGCAATTGGTGGAGTAGGATTTAGTTGGGTAGGTTTTGTTCCAACCTCCGGCACAGGGTGGGGATTTAGCTTGGGACATATTGTTAAAACAGTCTGAATTCATGCTGATACAGGGAATTAACTCGTACTTCAACAGTTTAATGATTTTAACAGCAACAAATTGAATGATTTTAACACTGCAAATCTTTTGTCCAGGGACTGGGGAATGGTGCTAAGCATAATGCATTAATGTTAGATTTTCCAACCTTGTCCCTTGTCTTTAACAACAACTAGAAAGCCCTAGTCTAAAGCACTTGTATTCTTTTGTAAGAACTTCTTCTGTTGCCCACATATACTCAAAAACTACTGATCATGAAATTGACATCAAGGCAAGTCTGTTTACCAATGATCGGGAAATGCAATAGGTGTGTCAATCAAGAGAGTATAAAGTAGTTTATTCTCTCTTGATATTTAACGTTTTGATCAGCCAGAAAGACGTTGCTCAGTCTCCTTAACCAAATACCAAAGGTTATGTTACACGCTCACGATCTCTACATTTAATATTCTAATCATTAACTCACTTAATGTTAATTTTCATAAGAGTTGCAGGTTTAATTTGTTTTTGAAAGTGTATTGGAAATTTGCATAATTATTGTATTGATATCTAATATACACCAGTCATTTGATATCCCCCGCACCCCCCCTTGAGGCATACCTGGGRTATTTACTTTTTTCCTCAGTGAAAGGTAATGAAAGCCCCGTCCCACGGGAAAGAAAATAAAAGTGAAGTCCCCGTGTCATCTTTTAAGCACGTTTATTTTAATGTGAACTGGATATTTAATATCTTTTGCAGAAATGTGTTCGCCGACAAAGAAATAGATTTAAGTATACAAATACTTATTCCATGTAATACCAGCTTATTTGCTTCCTTTTTGTTTGTTCTTTTTTTTTTTGTCTTTGTCTTTGTCTTTATCATAGAATAAAAAGCCATTTTTCGATCGATGGCTCAGAAAAACATAATAAAATGTGATGAAAATCCTACCTTCTTCGTACCAACCTCCATTACGTAAACTCACGTGTCAAGGAGCTCACTCTGTCCCAGTCCCCAAAATGGAAAAGTGCAGTCCCCGGTCAGTCCCTGGGTTGCAACCGAAGCTGTGAATTGAAGCGCTTTCCTAGACCACCAGGGAACCAAATACATGTGAAAATGAGGTGAAATCCCTGAAATCACTGTCCCCAGGTATGAAGGGGGGAGGGGGGTGTGGGGGAATGTCAAATGACTGGTGCATAAACCTGAAAGATTCTGAAAGACATTTTCCACTTTCCTGAAATTTGTCTTGCCAATACTAGTTATTCTCATACCTAATTAAGGCTCTGTACCTTTTCAAATTCAAATTGAATTGAATTAACATTAGAAATATTTTACTATGGAGTGAAATTACATGGTTAGGAAATGGCCGGGTGTTGTTGTTTAGCCTCCGGTACACGCCGAACATGCCGGAGAGAAAGGGGCGTTGCCGGTAGCAATAGTGTTCTCAGGGTTTAGAGTAGCCTCCTTGGCAGACGTTGTTAGGGTCGTCACACAACACTTCTCACTCTCCCCACCAACGTCTGCGAAGAGGGCAAGGTTTAGAGCAAAATGCCTAAATTTTACAAGGGAATCAAAGTTATATAAACAAAGTCARTCTATAACCGATTATTAAGATATTGTTTTTCAAAATAGAAAACTTTTTCTTTTCAAATTTTGATTTTCTAGGACTGTAATCCTTCAAGTACGGAGCTTGAAATCGTAGTTCTTGACTGGCTAGGTAAGTGACCCTGAAGGAGAAAGGTCCTCTCTTCTTCTCAGTGCTTTTTGTGCAGTTCATCATTATTTTTTGAATTCCCAATAAGGTAAAATGATTAATCTCCCTGGAGAGTTCTTAGCAATGAATCCTGAGCCAAGAAGTGACGGCAAGAGGGGCGGTGGAGTCATTCAAGTAGGTCACAACAGTTTTGTACTCCCTACATGACCGTCAAACTGTCTGACATTAAGGTGGCTCAATAGGCTTTTAAAGTTTAAGAAACAATGACTGATCGCGTATATTGTTGCCATAGCAACGCTGCATCAAAAAAAGGGTCATTTTTTTCATTAAAAAATTGAAAACTCTAGTCCATTAGCTGTCTTTCACACCAGAGGAAAGTAAAAAATTCGGTACTAACGAATCTAAATTAATGCGAAATCTAGATCTTGCTGAATAAAATACATTCCATAGTGCAACATTTGTTCATGTTTTTTCAAACACTTTACATTTATGTTATGAAAATTAACTACGATTATGAAATCTTTTTACCGTACAGTTTTCTAGTTTCTTATCTAAAGAAAGGTAACGCACGACAGACATGTTCGTGACGTCATCATTCTTCAAGTTGTGCGCATGCTCGCGCGGCGCGCGCCAAAAAACTCTTTGGAACAAAATTAGTTTTATCATGACTGTCCGCTTTACTCTGGTTCTTTAACAGAGTACGGCTAGTGAGGCTGTATTAGTTGCGATGCTGGCTGCTAAAAAGGCGGCACTTGATAGACTTCATGCAAGTTTTCCAAAGGAAAGTGAGGCTATGCTAAATGAGAAGCTGGTTGCTTACTCTTCTATGGAGGTAAATTAACTTAACTATAAGTTTTGTATGAGAGTCAAGCGTACATTTGTTTGGTATGGCGGCTGTATCTATGGTCGGGCCGAGCGAAACCCAAATCCCATCGAGCAGCTTGGAACGCGAAGTCTTGGTAATATCAAGAGAATCTTTTTCATTTTCTCTCGGTAATATTTAATATCATATACCAACTTGTGTACTTCCTAAGAACGAGCGCACTCATTGGTTAATTGGAGTCGAATATCGTACGATATTCACCTCTGAATCTCTGAATATTGAGTCGGCAACGAAATGGCATCTGCCGGAAGTCGTTTCGTTACAATTTCCGATGAGCAAATTGAAAAAATGAAAGTAAATGTCATTCCTATCAATACTAAAAAGGCAACGAAGTATGGCCTAAAAGTTTTGCTAAAAGTTTTAATGCGTGAATTTGTCACGCAAACTTAAAGTTTCTGTTTGTTTGTTGTTATTGAATTATTGTATATAAAAATAAGTTACACAAGTCGGTATATGCTAAAACAATTATTCCATTGTCAATATATCTAGTTTGCCACGGCGTAAAGTTCGTTTCTTTCAGATGATTTATATTTGATTGAAAAACACAAGGAAAATTTGAGAGAAAAAGGTATTGATGTTAGTTTTGACTAGTGTTGTTTGCCTTGTTGTTCTTGTAGTCTCATTCATCTGTTGAAAAAGCAGCAACTATCACTGGAAACAAGATACGTTCGATTCAAACTGACGACCAAGGAGTGCTCTTAACACAGGAGCTTCAAGAAACGATAAAGGTAAAGAGTGAACTATCTGTTTGCAAGACTTTCATTTTCGTGGGAATTTTGAAGGATTGATACAAGACACGAGAAGGCGCCACTGAAAACCTCACACCCTTCGAACACTGAGTAGATAGGAAACATGTCATCCTCCRCTCGTCAAATTTGATGTTCGAAGGCCAGTGAAAAGTGTTATTTCCCATGAAAGCTAATCACGCCAAGACGTATGGGATAGCCTGATAGCCTGATAAGCACCCGTCTTCTAATATTCATCCAGCGCGCTGATATAACACGTTGAAGGAAACAACAAACTTTCATTTCTTGGTCATTTGTTTTTATCTTTTCAGGCTGACAAGGCAAACGGTTTTTATCCATTTTTCGTGAGTGTTAAACATCGGCTTCTTTTATTTGTGCATACATGATGTTTGAATTTCAAACAATGACTGAATCGGTAATGATTGTCAAATAGGTGTGTGCTACCCTTGGAACTACTAACGTCTGTTCCTTTGATAACCTCGAAGACATTGGTCCAATATGTAAGTCATCATGGTTTAGGGACCGTTCTTCATTTATAGGTTTGGCAGATGGGGCTATGTGAATTCTGGGTTTTAAAACAGTATTCCCCCCCTCCTCCCTCCTCTCAGAATCATGAAATATAATCGATATGGTTATAAAATGGCTCTCGATTTTTGGCAGCCCTTAAATTTTGGCTGAATCTTTAAGTGCCCCCTCAAAATCTATGCATATCTTCCCCCATAAATTATAATCCGTACAGTAGTGTATTCATGCATGTACGTATTCCAGTCACATTCAGTCTCRCGGTAATTTGGCTGGATAGCTTTGATAGCTTTTTTCCTATTTTTCAACGTTGTGATTAGTTCTCTTCCAAAAGAACCAAGATATTAAACAAAATCACAACACGAAGATTGTACAAGAATAYGTTGCTGAGGGGTTTTCGTTTTTATCCAACCACAGGTAGCCCAAGCTTGGTTTCTGTGGTGTCCTGTCATAAGGAAATGTATGGGGAATCATCAAAAATTTCAATAAAATCATCAAAACGTGAAATAAAGCCTCGAAATTTTACCCTATCATTGAGAAATAGCACTTCTTTCGCTCTGCGTGGTTATTTTTTGAATTTAGCCCGTTTTAAGGATAAAAAATACTTAAAACGGGCTAAATTCAAAAAATAACCACGCAGAGCGAAAGAAGTGCTATTTCTCAATGATAGGGTAAAATTTCGAGGCTTTATTTCACGTTTTGATGATTTTATTGAAATTTTTGATGATTCCCCATACATTTCCTTATAACAGGACACCACAGAAACCAAGCTTGGGCTACCTGTGATCCAACCAACCAACCAACCAACCGACCGACCAACCAAACAACCAACCAACCGACCGGCCGACCGACCAACCGACCAAACAACCAACCGACCAACCAAGCAAACAACCGACCGACCAACCAAGCAAACAACCAACCAAGCAAACAACCGACCAACCAACCAACCAAGCAAACAACCGACCGACCCACCAAGCAAACAACCGACCAAGCAAACAACCGACCAACCAACCAAGCAAACAACCAATCAACCAACCAAGCAAACAACCGACCGACCCACCAAGCAAACAACCAACCAACCAACCAACCAAACAACCAACCAACCAACCAAGCAAACAACCGACCGACCCACCAAGCAAACAACCAACCAAGCAAACAACCGACCGACCGACCAAGCAAACAACCAACCAACCAACCAAGCAAACAACCAGCCAACCAACCAAGCAAACAACCAGCCAACCAACCAAGCAAACAACCGACCGACTGACCGACCGACCAAGCAAACAAACAACCAACCAACCAACGCAGCAAACAACCAACCAAMCAAACAAACAAMCAAMCAAACAAACAAACAACCAAGCAAACAAGCAAGCAAACAAACAAACAAGCAAACAATTTGGCTGAACGAAAAAGGGCATCTTACAGTAGCGAAAGATGAGAAACAACTTATTGCGTAAAATAAAAAGCGCATTTTTGTGCATAATATTTAAGCCGATCTTTCCCCTATCTTAGGGAACATATTTCCAAAATAGCGTCTCGATTTTGTCCTTAAAACAGTCCGGCCCACAATGCACTGCAGTGCCAATTCCATCCAGTCTTTTGTTCAACCTTGGAATAATTAATCTAACCTCATGCATTTTGTTTTGCCAGGCAAGAAAGAGAACATGTGGTTACACATTGATGCGGCATACGCAGGATCTTTCTTTATCTGCCCTGAGTACAGAACCTACATGAAAGGAGTAGAGGTTACTAGTGGTCACTGGAAAACAGTTTTTTAACTCTTTAATCAATCATTCACTTAAACTGTCCTTGTGTCTGTACTCTTGTTGAAGTTTAATGACGTGGAAGAGATTCAAAAGTCAGTCGCGATATAGCAAGCACATTCTCAACATGATGTGACGTCAAGCCAGCATAACTTGTGCCGCGCATAAACCACATAAAATCGAACAGTTATGGAATCTAGACGGTGCTTGTATTTTTGTTTCCATATAATGGATAGTTTATGATATAGATATATATCATAGATATGTTTTATTATTTCATTTTAATTTTTATTCGTTTTCAAAGACCCAACACTCGTATTTTCATTTAGTTTGCAGATTCGTTTAATTTTAATGCCCACAAGAACATGTTAACGAACTTTGACTGCTCACCCCTTTGGTAAGTGATCATGGAAATATTGAAATGAACTTGCATGGAATCAAAACATAGACTAAGGAAACCAAAAGGTGTGGGTCATGGAACTAAGGCAGCGGGGAGGGATTTACATCATGAACAAGCTAACGAAGAACTAAATAGCCGCATTCGAGTACAAATTTCAGGCTCGTAACTCCTCATGTGAGGTGTTTTTATCGCTAATATTGCAACATGACAATTTTCAGACAGACAGACAGACAGACAGACAAGGAGAAAGAGAGTCCCTGTCGTTGTTATAGCGCATGCTCGAAGCATTACCAGAGGTTTTCAGGAAACCCTAAAATAGACCTCTTTACCTTGGGCGTAATGCTTTTCCATTTCATACCACATCCTCTCATTCCCTAGAATATGGTCTTGTATTTCTCCACCAAAAAGCGAGGAGAGTAGCAACAGCATTTTTAGTCGCTTTTTTCGTATTTTCGGAATCCTTTTTCTCGAAATAAAAGTCTGTAACTTCCTTGTATAAATACTGGAAAATCTCTGTTGTTTCGCTTCGTCGAGCTCCATTTCAAATCCAAAATATCTGCTTCCGCTCTGCTGTTTTTTATTGGTGCAAAATATCACGCCATCAGCGATTTTCACGTTCTGGTCACGTGCACTTGTTTACTGTCACGTGGAACTCATTTCCCGAGCGGGATAGATTTAGATTTAGCTAGTGTCACGTGGTCATCTTTCAACCAATGAGAGTGTTCGTTATATCGGAAAATTTCGTAGCTATATAACAACATTTCTTTGTTTTACGGTTGAGCATGAGAGGGCACATGAATATGGATACAACTCAAACAAACAATCTCATTCTCAAAGAAATGACACGTGGTCTGAAATGGAAAAACATTGCGCCCAAGGTAGATGTCTGTTTCAAAAAGTTATAAAGTCATTTCTGTTGTCGCCGGATAATTGATCAAAACATTCTGCGCGAATAAGGCTTTGATTAGTAGCTGGACTTCATAAGTGTTCCTGTTACAAAACAAGCAGATACGCACCAAAAAACCGCAGTTTTTTTTAAAGCAGTAACAGGTAATAGAGATTGCTGACTTGAAGAGCAGGCGCTCTAGTTGTCAGAATAATCTCCAGTTGAGTTTGTTCCCAATCTTAAGTCTGGGAAGCTATAGGTACTGTCTAGGAGAATTTTTTCAAATTCAAGCGAGATTGGAAGAGAGGAAGCGAGATTTTTTCTTCGTGTTTCCCAGAGTCGCTGACACTTCGTTGAGCATGCGCAGCACTAAGAATGGCAAGGCTCGGGGATCGAGATTAACTTCAGAAGAATTATTTAAAAGTTTATCTTTTATATAAATCAATCAATTACTAGGGTCAAAGACCGAGATGCCATCATGGGTGCTTTGTATGTGAAAAGATCGTATCTGAAAAACGTCGACACAGGTGAGTTTACTAACTGAACTCGTGCAATACAGGAATATTGCGCATGACAGTGGAATACCACCGAATATACAACTGATTACCATTGTTTTTTTTTTTGCTCCGACGAAGGACTAGCGTCCGAAACGTCAGTAAGTTTTTTYATCTTTTCACGGTGTATAATTTACCTTTTCATCATTACTGTTTCATTAGAAACACCGACGCAGCTCACACTAGTTTTTAGCTAGTTATATCTTTTTTGACTACCGTTCTGATTGGTGTGGGATAAACAGACCTTTCCCAAGATACAGTCAAGCGTCCAGGCTTCTTTATTGGAAAATAGAACAATCAAAGACTCCAAGGTGCCAATAACTCGAGTGATATATTGTTTAATAAGCGCTCTRACCTTGTATTATCGTTTAATCATCCAATAACATCATATCCCGAGATAGACACGATACTTATATCCCCCATAATATGTATCCAAACCGAGGCTTTGGCTGGTACATATGCATCCGGCCGTACGTATCTTTGGAAAGGTCTGTTTCATTAAACATTGGTATGTGTTGTGTTGTTTTGTGTTGTACTGATATCCAACTGAAGTTCTGTTATTTTACATAGATGTGGTCACCGATTTTCGAGTAAGTAATCAATGCGTTTTACCAGTACCGCACCTTTATCTAACTGTTGCAGCTGTTTTTGATGTGTTCTTGTACAGTATACGCAAACACGGCAGCTAACGAGTACGCATTCGTCAATATAACATCCAACTTTCTTTTTCATGAATGCTAAGAATTGGCAGATTCCCCTTGGTCGACGATTCAGGGCTTTAAAGCTATGGTGTGTAATGCGTTGCTTTGGAGTAGAGGGGATTCAAGAACATGTGAGGCATGTAAGTACCTTGGTTGTCATAAAACAATGCATTCTTGTCAAATGTTGCGGTCATGATCAGTGCCGCCATCACGACACGAGACATCAGGTATGCCTGGGTCGTATAATTCTTGACACGCGTTGCGGCAGGGCTGTAGTCACCGGTACGGTTGGTCCGGTGTCAACCGAACCAACTTTCGGAAGGGGGGGGATTTTTTTAAAAATAAAAAAAATGAAAATAAAAATGAGAAAAATCATTGAAAAATATTTTAATAAATGATTAGAAGAAAAATGAATAAACACTTCTCGCGTGATATTGATGTTTAATTTGGCGGGAAATCCGCAATATGTGTGTGTGAGCCGGTATTTGTCTATCAGTTCGTCTTAAACCAGCTAACTTAATTCGTGCATCTGCAACTCGCTCTAGTTATACTTCAACCAATCAATGCAGTGAAGTCTACAAGAGAATTCAGAGATTCCTATCCATCCTAGAAGTAGTTTTGTTTTCTCAAAAAGATCCTTTGGAAAGTCCAAGCCGGTACTTTGTTCGGCGCAAAGCCAGTGGTTTGAGAAGTGGCAATGGCTGCACTATGCAGAAGATGTTGTCTTTTGCCATATTTTGCCATAAGTGGTTCGATAAAGAAAACCCTAACGTAGAGAATGTCAAGAAAACCCTTCTTAGTTTATCTTCTGCTGAAAGGGGTATCCTAGATGAAGTTTGCAAGTTATTTCGCCTATTGAATGTTCTTTCTGCAACAAACGCAACATCTGAGCGATCTTTCAGTGCTCTGCGACGCATCAAGACATATCTCCGAAGTACAATGGCTCAATCAAAATTGAATCATTTGATGATACTACATTACCACCAGAATGTGACAGATAAGCTTGATTTAAAATCTGTTGCAAATGAATACATCCTAAAGAACGAGTCAAGAAAAAGTACTTTCGCAACATTCAAAATCTGAGTACTTTAGGATGGGTTTGAAAAGATATTAAGTGTAGTTTTTCCCTATACTTTTCCTTGCTCCTCTCCACCTACCCCCTACCCCTCCCCCTGCCTTGAAAACCGAACCAATCAAAAGTTGGTGGCTACGGCCCTATGCGGTCATAATCAAGCTCAATTTCTTCAAGGTTTTGATCCACATTTTTAGTCTTCAGGTATCCAGTCAACAAAGCCAGGTCTCTCTTAGTCTAACTTAATGTGGTTTTTACTTCTTCTTGGTTTTGAATAAATTCTATCTTTGGATATTGTATTGAAGCGGCACAAAACGACTCTTCATTGTGTGGACTACAACAGCTACAGAAAAACGCAAATTTGCTTTAAGGCGGGAAGCCATTTAAATGTCACATTTTCTGATTGGTTGGTTTAGTTAATTTCCACATGTGAAATATGAAGCATGGAGATTTTTATAACAACTTTATAACACGGATTTACTGTATGGAATACTAGTAATATATATAATAAAATTCTTGACACACGTTGCGATCATGATCACTGTAACCACTATGATAGGAGACATCAGGGATGCATTGTCATACAATGTTCACAGACACACGAAACGTTTGTTGGTCTTATGCGTTTTGTAATATTTTTATACCTTTCAGCACATTAGAATGACGAAGGTTTTTGAGGAATTGGTGGTACAGGATGATCGATTTGAATTCTGGCCCAAAATCCCTAATGTAGGTCTTGTGTGCTTCAGATTGAAGGTAAGAATAATGAAATGCCCCGTAAAGTGGCAGTCTTTTGCATATGGCAAATGTAACAGCATTGCTTTTTCTTACACTCCGTTGGCGAAATTTAAGGTTTTGGCCTCTCCAGATACATGTCCATGCAATGCAACCTTTCTTTGTTCTTTGAGGCGGCATATGCATGTGGAAGATATCACCTTTATATGAAATCTCTGTAGTTTCTCAAACTTTGTCTGCAGGTATTTTCGTTATCATTACTTCTGTGTTGACTGTTGACATTACACATTTCTTATATGCATGTGATCTACATTGGACTACATTTCAAGGCCGATGTGCAACTTCACCAACCTAAATGATAACACCATTCTAAATAACACTAATAGATTACTGATTAGAAGAAGACTGTGAAGAAGGAGAATAAAAGAACAAATTTCGCTCTCTTTTCTCTATTATGAAAGATAACTTAAATTCACTATTTTCTATTGTAGAGTATTGGGATACCTGTGTTATCACGTGTCATTAGTAATAAGAATAAACGTGGTTCCGCCATCTTGTCTAAAAGTCCTCGTGAAAACTCAACATCTATATTGTGAATAGTCTCTTTTTTACTGATACGGCGGCCATCTTGAATTATGGGATATGCCGGAGGGGAGGGGGGCGGGGGCGAACACGTAGAAAGTTGTTAAAGGATAGAATGACGGCGGTTAGGTTTTCAAATAATTTGAAGTCTTAGCGTTTCGCATATTATTCCAACTATGCATACCAGAAAATTCAATTGCTTTTCATTGCTTTTCAGATTTGCTTCTCATTGAAAAGCGTATAGTTATATGTAAAGACATCCTGACAGCTGTGCAGTCTATAAATTTTCCAATAGTTGCTCGCTCGGCATCCCATAATATCTTAATTAAAACAATAGAATTGAAGATGGCCACCGTATCGGTAAAAAGGTCTATGTAGGATTCCCAACTGTGCCCACCAAGTTATAATCTAAATCGCTAGTATTGATAATGTATATGGAAATTGGGTGTGAACGACTTAAAGTACAATTGTTTTGATTGGCAGGACTCAGATGAACTTACCAAGATGTTGGCAGATAGTATAAACAACACCGGTCAACTATTTGTGTTATCTGTTGTTTTCAAAAATAAACAAGTGATTCGCTTTCATGGTGGAGTTGGAGGGAAAGAGGACCATGTTTACGAGGACTGGAACACAATACGAAGAGCAGCAGATGCTTTGTTAGACGGCCAGGGCTGATCCTATCTAAGACTATCTTAGACGAGAATATTATTAAAAGAGAACTTCCATTGTAAATCGTGCTCAAAGTCATAAATCATAACCCTTTTTAACACTGTTTTAAACATCCAGTAAATACCGCTGTGTTTTACGACTACAGACTCATTTGTACATTTTTAGCCTCGCTTCTATAAAAAGTTTAAAAAATCGCTCGATCTCGAGTACAATTCGGAATTTATAAGCACGAGTGATGTTTTGAAAGTTTTCAAAATTGGACAAGCCTTCTAGGCGATCCCATTTGAGAACTTTCAAAAATTCACGAGTATCTATAAATTCCGAATCGTATGAGAACATTGTGAGGTTTTTCGTTTATGATATACTCAACGAAATCAAACAACTTAATTGTGGCTCTACAGAGTATAATTTGGGATTTAATTGTACTTCTTTTGTCCAATCAGAATCGAGTAATTTTGTTGAGTGTATTATAAGTTTTAAAATCTCGCAGACTGTTAATAGCTAACTTATAAACGAGGTTAAAAATGTATAAATGAAACCGTGATCATCAAATACAGCAGAATCCTACATCAAGCCATAAGAATGTTTGGAGAGTGTGACTTCTATCTATTCCAGCATCCTGTACGTACCAATCGTTGATACGGTAAAATACTTGAATGATAAAACATTACAGCTATAAAAAGCTCGCAGCTGATGTACAACACAAGTGCTTCGATTTGAGGGTTTGGTTGACGTGATCTATTTGTACAACTAGCTTTAAAGTATTATAACCTAGTTTGGGTTACCCAAAACATTGTTTTTAGAAAAGCAGGAATTGCTCAGTCTGATCGATGTTCAGAAGTACTGTTTAATATAACGAGCAGGAGTATTCTTCATGATTAGGTGTAAAAACACACTAGTGGTGTAGCCAAATGGTTTTAGAACTGATAAAACATTATTTGCGAGTTTATGATACTGAACAGCTTCTCTCTGCATTTCTCCCTCTCCCTCTCCCTCTCCCTCTCCCTCTCCCTCTCCCTCCCTCCCCCCAGCCCTCTCTCTTCTAAGCTCACCGAGAAAGCTGCGTCTAATCAGGTTCATGGTCACATGACTATTAATAAGTTGTACCCCACCTTGCAGTCCTCATATAGAAAGAACCATAGTATTGTGAAATTGCGCTTCTCAAAATCATGAACGATATTCTACTAAAAATAGAATAAGCAGCACGTGACGCTCCTGGTGTTACCAGATCTCAGCGCCGCATTTGACACCAGCGATCATGATATTTTGTGGAGCGCTTGTCAACCAAGCTTGGCATCCAGGGCGTGGCTTTGAAGTGGTTCCAGTCCTACCTGATAGGCAGGTCACAGAGAGTTTTTGTGCATGGGACCATCTCAGATGACGTAACGTTCAATCGAAGAATTCGCCGGATACGTGTGGACGGAAGGCCAATCCGCAAAGAAAAAGTTGCGATTTCATGCAAAACGGATACGTGTGGTCTTAGAGTCTCATAAATCAATCTCACGTACGATGGTCGACAACTGAAGACCGACCCACGAAATCTCGTCGAGTACCACCCTATCTTCACATTGTTATGCTGTCTTCAACTTGCCGGAGCCTTCTTGAACCGACTGCGGATGCCAGTGATCAGCTGGTGGCGTATAAACATCAATCGAAGTATAGAAGTCTGTGCCCGTCACGTGATGGAGTGTATTGTCGTTCCCGTCCCTAATCAAGTGGAGACGTTAAAAAAGTTGAGTCATGATCCTCTAACAATGTTGGTAGTCAGGGGCGGATGTAAGGGGTTCGGCTGGTTGCGTACAAATCCGCCCTCGACCACGATCCAACCATGACAACTACGAACCCCCTCAAATCATCTTGAATTTATCGAACCCCCTAAACAACGATTACAAGTTTGTTTGTTTTTTGTTTGGTTGTGTTTTTTTGTTTTGTTTTTGTTTGTTTTTGTTTTGGCTTTTTTGGTTTTTTTGGTTTGCTAAACTAGTCTTTTGTGTTTAGTTTGGTTCGGCAGCTCAAAATTTACCTCAGTTTAGAAGGGAAAAACAAAATCTTGTCAAACTCGTGAAATTCTGGACGGATCGGCCTCAAACTCATCCCAGATCCACAAGGAATCAATACAAACAAGCAAGTTTAAAGAAATATTTACAAATGTATTTCTTAGCTTATATTACACCTGATTTCAAAATAGTGCGAACTCTCGGGATTTCCAGTTTCGGTCGATCTTCGGCACTCGACCGACATCACTCGACGGCTTGGTAACCAGGCTAACCAGGCGTATTACATATCTATCAATGGCAGTCATGACGAAAACCAAACTCGGGAACTGATCATGAAAGATATAAATCAGGTTTTGACAAGACCATCAATATGCCATTTTTACTTGGGAACTGATCATGGAAACCATATCAACTGATCTGCGATGGAGGGTAATCTATCATCAGATAATTTATTGCTCCACAATTCAAGAAACATGCAGGGCTCTTTTCGTTGGCGAGACATTCCTGTGTAAAAGAAGAAAGCTATATAAACAGCAGCGAGATGTCAAAGCACTTGGAAGACGAGGAAGGTATCGACTGCTAACATGTGAGTATAAGCTTATTATACGTAAGGTTACGTTAGTTTACTTCAAAATTTTAGTCGGGAACACAGCCAATAAAATATTGTAAATTCTAAATTTC